GCTTTACTAGCGTAGCAATCCGCTACAATGCAATCCGGTCAGGCTTTACTAAGGTAGCAATCCGTTACAATTCTCAACCGGTCTGGCTTTACTAAGGTAGCAATCCGCTACAAGTCTTTAACCAAGGCTTTACGAAGGTAGCAATCCGCTACATGTTCGAGACTTAGGGAGCAATCCGCTACAAGTCTACAAAACAATATACATAACTTCCTACAGAAGCATATTTTGGAAACCACAGCGCTATGAATCTCGCTTATGTCGTTATCAAGTAGCTTTGAATTGTCTAATGAGTCGTTTTATGTGCATTACAAATAACTGCACTAACGTCATTTTCTTACGCAAGTTATTGCTATTACCTACTGTCAATTCGGCTGTGTTTATACAATTCAATTTCTGAGAGACAGTTTAAGGAGTGAAGTAAAAAAATTGACTGATAGAAAAAAAGTGAAATGTCAAACGGTTTCAAATTTTTAATCCTATTTAAATTTAATATCAGCACACAATGCGTCAATGTCATAAAATATTTTTTCTTGGAAAAATCAATTATTCGATCATTTCATTTTGCTTTCGGCAACCCCTTCACAGCACCATCAACATAAAATGAGTATTAGTATTGAAATATAGATAAATCTGCACTGAAACTCACCTCAATTGACTTCTAATGAGTTCTGTTATTTTAAAATCGCGTGTTTGACTGCATAGTATTTATTGGCAGGAAGCATATATGATACGGACTATCGACTTTCCATGTTAATACACCTGTTTTAATCCTCGTGGCATTGCGGATAAGTTTTGACCTGCGTGACGTAACTTTTACCCAAATTAGAAGCTATCAAGACAATTCCTGAAACCTCAAATTCCTGAATGAGAGCATTTAAAGCATTTGATTGGATCATAGAGAGAGAGAGAGAGTAAATAGTTTACAATCCGAGTGCATACTTTTTTCGCGAAATGAGGTTGAAGAATTTTCCTTACACTAAAGAGAAAAAAAGCGTTGATCGTAAAAGCTAGTTTTATGTAACTTGTTAATGTGCGTGTATTTTGCGTCGTTTAGCGATGACTTAGAGCTTACTATTCGAGTCACGTGAAGAAGACAAATCAATAGAATTTAATATAATTTAGCATTTCAAGCAATAAGTGCCTATTGCATGGCAGCCCTATTGTGTTGAATTCATTAAATATTTGCCATTCGTAGTTTGGGTGTCAACGATAATAATTAAATTAACCCATAGCTTTTCATATCTATTTAAGAATTTATCTCCTCTAATCAGCGGAAAGTCCATACAATTTCTGCAACTTCCAGTCTCGTGACCTCACTACAGCATCCATCAAGATCATGTTCCAACAATTATGTTTTAACCCTAACCCTAACACGGCAAAAAGTCTATAAACCGGCAGTTGACCTCTGACTTCAAACTACCATCACCCCACTGTATGTCATATACCTCTGACTTCAAACTACCATCACCCCACTGTATGTCATATTTCACCACTTCCACAGTACTCACCTCGCCTTTTTTCTACCTTCAGTTGACTCTAGCTTCAAAGACAAAAAAGTCTATTGATCGGCAGTTGACTTCTGACTTGCAAAAAGTCTATTAACCGGCAGTTGACTTCTAACTTCAAACTACCATGGCCCGACTGCATGTCATATTCCACCACTTCAACAGTACTTATCTTACCTATTCTCTGACTTTGTATCTGTCTGTTTCCTTTAAACCTGTGAATCATTATTCTGTCCCCCTCTCGTCTTTTTGTCACTTTGATGTTTCCCCTCCTCTCTATGAAGCCTGAATCCAGCTAAAGGGTTAATGATAACTATCAAAACGCCCGCCATTTGAAATAAATTAAATAAAAGTACTTCTCGTTGATTTCTCACTACCTCTAAGGCACAACAACTTTCGAAGTTGAGCAAATTGATAAAAACCCACACTATTTCAAGTTAATGATGGAAGTGCCAAAACGTCCTCTTGCTTTTACTACGAACGAAATGATATTTTATCAAAATCACTTTTATGCTATAGTTTTTCAGGCTTTTGGAAGCCTTTATAAGAATTTTAAAACCGACAGTTGACTTAAACTATCATGACCCCACTCTAGGTCATATTCAACCATTACCACAGTACTCAACTCATCTTACCATTTCTCTACCTTTATGTCTGCCTGCCTCTCTTATATCTGTGAATCATACTCTTCTGTTCCTTCTCTCCACTTTCGTGACTTTGATGTTCCACCTCCCTCTACCACCCCCCCCCCTCCTCCCTGTGAAGCCTGAAATCAACTGAAGGACTAATGATAATTATCATAAAGCCTGCCATTCGATACTAATAAATATCAACACTTTATTAAACTTAAGCCGTGAATTCGATTCTTTATATATAGTTGTAATAGCATAAGCATTCCTTCTGTTAGATCTTTTGTTGTCACTGTGGGAAATATAGCCCTCACCTTGAAGTGTTTATTCCTCCAGACAGGCCCAGACATTGACGGGAGAAGGTCCAAAGGTGTAGTGAGATTGAAGTGATCAAGAACTCGGGTCCTAATTGCAGTTGAATAACTGTAATGAAATAATTGTGTTGTTAATGCATCCAAACTCGCTCGGTAATCGAAAGTTGAATCACCTTCCACCTTCCCCCCCCCCACTTCCCCAATCAACTTACCTATTTGGAGACAAACTTGTGGTGGTGCTGATCGAAGAACTAGAACCTTTTGATGATGTATGCCTTTTGTCTAAATATTCTTCCCATGTCTGTGGCTGCGCTGACAACTCCTCGCACGTCTTAAACTCCAGGAATTTCCAAGACGAGGAGGTGAACAAACACGCAATCATGGGGTAGAAGGGTGGAAGTACGAGGCCGATGAGAATCAGGGTAACCTTGGCTGAAATGAAACGGCTTTCTCGAAGACCACCATACCACAGATCGGAGAGAATCGCTTGAGCACATGGATGAGCAATGAAGGACTTGGACTCACACATATGAGCTAGAGAGAGGCAGGTATTGCGGGAGAAGTTGCGAAGTTCGTATGTCAGTATGCGACGGGTTTGGTAGACATCATGTCGATAATAATGTTCTTGCAGTTCTACTGCCAATTTCTCGAAGACACTAGAATAAAAACATGGAAAAGTTGTTCATTGACCGTTGACCTCCAGTGTGTGCGGACTGAGATTTTGAGTCAATAATGATCACCATTATTCGATATGCTTTTCATACGCTTGCAAGCAAATGTCATAGTTTCCACTAGCCTTGTTCAAGACGGTTTTGGTGAACAAAGGTACATTGTGTGCAAATTTTCTCCTCTTTAGGGTTTGACGTAGTGATTAGTGCGTTAATTTGAAAATAAATTAAAAAAATCTGACACACATTCTTTTAACTCTGCCTGATTAGTCGTGGCGCAGCCTGACCTACCTAGACTGGAAGGTCCAGCTCACGAAGTAAGCCTTGAAAAGAAGAAGCATTTGATTCAGGAATGGAATGCTAGAGAACAGTGTTTGGTTGTTTTTTTATCAAGATATTCAAAAGTTTTCACGCAAGCTAAGCCCCGTTTAAAACTTTAAAAGCC